ACAGTAGAAAAAACACAGTGAAGGAGAAAGGAAAACCTCCCTCACTTGAGTTGAGTAGGTTGTAGGGTATTAGGGCATAACCCAAGAAAATTATTATAAAAAAGAAAAAGAGACTAAAGAGGGATTTCCAAATGCTCCTCCCAAATACCAGTAGACAAAAGCAAAAAATGGGGGGATGGGTCTGCTCCAATATATACAATAAATGATAATATCAAGTCCAATAGGATGCAGGCCATGTGATTTTCCTGCATTTCCTTCGTTCCAGTTCCAGCATATAATAAATTCACTTGGATTAAAGACGTACATTTGTTCGTTAGAAAACTGGCTCTATGTAAATATCACCAATTAAAAATTGAAAGGAAAACTAGAGACCTGGGACTATCTGACAATGATTATGATGGGTTGATTGCTCTAGTGTCCTTACTGGAAGAAAGTGACCCCACTATTACTCAAGGCCAGACAAACCTTAAAAAGTCGCTTTACTCCTCATATAGGAAGCTTCAGAAACATTGAATTGTTTCTGGAGGCAGTCAAGTTTGAAATTGAGAGTATTAGGAATGTGGATCTTGTCCTATATCCTAACATGAACCTTACCAAACATGAGGGTAGAGCACTTCAGTCCCTCAAAATGGATAAGGAGATTACCACCAAACCGGCAGATAAGGGCAGAAACATAGTTATTATGAAATCAACAAACTATGTAAAAATGGCCCTCAAAATTTTGGATGATAAGGATACCTACTGTATACTCCAAAGGGATCCTACCAACTCCTTTTTGGAGGAATACAAACAGATCTTGGATGTAGGTCGCAGTAGAGGGTTGCTATCTAGGGAGGAATATGAATTTATCCTCAATTGGAACCCTAGGATAGCGACCTTCTACTGCCTACCAAAAATCCACAAGAACAAGCTGGACCCTCCGGGACGCCCGATTGTGTCAGGCATCAATAGTCTCACACAGAATGGGAGCATTTATTTAGACAAAATCTTGCGCCCATTTGTGGAGTCCCTACCGTCCTTTATTCTGGACACCAAGCAGACCCTGGCACTTCTTTCAAACCTTATGCTCTATGAACCTGTGAACCTATTTAGCCTGGATGTAGAGGGTCTTTACTCCTCCATACCACATGAGGGAGGCATACAACATGTCCAGTACTACCTAGAGAAAAGAGGAACAAACTATTCTGCACATTCTGTTTCTATTCAATGACAGGTTTTACCACCAGGTGTGGGGGACAGTGATGCGAACCTACACCTGGGATGGTGTCAGGAAACAGTCATTAGATCAGCCAAATTCTCATCTTTTGCCCCTATGATACATCTATGGGCAAGATACATAGATGATATCTTAATAGTATGGAAAGGTACATCTAAAGACTTCAATATTTTTGTGGCTCTTCTAAATGAAAATGACTCTAATCTCAGATTTACTTCTGAGTTTGGAGGAAAAACTCTCAATTTTCTGGATCTGACTGTATCTATCGACAACAAACTGTCCATCTAGACTACTCTCTTTAAGAAGCCTACAGCTTCTAATAGCCTGCTAGACTGGGGTAGCTTTCATCCAAAGCCCCTAAAACAAGGCATTCCTATAGGCCAATATTTAAGGGCCCATAGGAATTGCAGCACCACTCAAGAATTTAAAACCCAAGTGGATATATTGCGATAGCAATTTAAGGACAAGGGCTATCCCAATCGGTGTTTGAAGAAAGCGTATAAGAGAGCCTTAGAGTCAGACAGAGAGACTCTACTGAGCAACAACAAACTGTGACATCTACTATCTCTTCTCCTCGTATGATTGCAACGTATGATGCTGGATGGGATAGAGTAAAATCCGGTATTCAGAGGTTCTGGCCCCTCTTAACGGGGGATGTCCACCTTAAAAAGATTTTGGGACAAAGAGTGGAATTGACGCCACGTAGAGGAAAAAACTTGAGAGACCTTTTAGTTCCCAGCCACTTCCAACCACCACGCCCTGACACCAAGACCTGGCTTAATAGACCTATCACTGATACATTTCAATGCGGGCACTGCGTTGCCTGTAAATATTTAAAACGTGATTCCAAGAAAGTGTCTGATAGTGAAAACAAACAGGTCTTCGATATCACTTAATTTTTTAATTGCAATACTTCAGGGCTGGTATATTTGCTTACCTGCGAATGTGGATGTAAATATGTGGGAAAAACTTTCCGTCCTTTCAAAGAGTGGATTAAAGAACATGTCAGGTCACCTAAATTCACTACTGAGACGCCAATTGCCTGTCACCTTAAGGAACATCACGCAGGAAAATCACATGGCCTGCGATTTTGCGGATTAGAACTAGTAAAACGTGACAAAAGGGAAAGGTGACTATGACAGGTTCTTAAGGCAACATGAAAGTTTTTTGATTTACAGACTAAAAACTTTGCAACCCAAGGGGTTAAACGAAGGGTTTTGCTTTGCACCATTCATTTAAAATCTGTGTATTCCTTTCCAATTATTGGGAAATTTAATGGTTGAGGAATGAGATGTATATATTCATCACTCAAATCTTTCCCTGTCTAGTGATACCCATAGACTCCTGGCTTAGCTAAGATGTAATGCAGCAATTAACCAGGGGCTATATCTTGACTTTTGTGTGTGTGTGTGTGGGGTGGGGGGGGGCGGATGAGAGGAAGAGATTCTCTATTTATACTAATTACATACACAGATATCCTAATTTGATCAGCTGTATTTATATGTTTGAAAGGAGTAGAAACACTACTTAATATTCCCTGTTTAGGATCATTTAACATGTAGTCTTCTATTTGGCAAATGAGGGGTTAATACATCCCCTCATGCCGAGCAGACGCTCATGCCACTCACTTGCCCATTCTCCGCCCACCAACTGACGCGTCTGGGAGTGAGATGACGTCATGAATTGTATGGGCGGAGACGAGGGGGTTTAAAATGTGGCGTTTCCCTACATTCCGGTAAGCTCTTGATAAAAGCGCATCTTGGCGCCGAAACGCTCATTGAGCTGAACTGAGACCACTCTTTTTTCTATATGCAATTGGGAGGGGGGTTTTGGCATTCGTCAGGACTTAGTTTTAATCTATTACCCATCCATAGTCTTAGCTATTATACTAGATTAACACTTAGGAACAAACAGCCAGGCGATTAATAGCAGACAAGAAACTGTATACATACTTTACTGGTAGACTCCTAAAGGTGGTGTTATATTAGATTAATCACTAGGACTACTTCTGCCCGTATGTAACATAGAGTGACTTAGCACGCTGTATATAGACGGGGCTACAATACTAATGTCCAGTGATCGGGACTATGATGTGGTATAGATTGTTCGATATAGAGAGTGTATAGGTGCTTGTACTTAGGTCCGGCCGGACTCATCTGACACTTGGTTTCTCTCTATCGGCATTATCCTTCTTTAGCTGCAATCAGGGTGCTTTTCTTTGAGTATTACAATCGGGGTTGGATTATTGTTATATCGGCTAGTATCCCGGCTACATTACTAGTGAGGCAGCACTGCCGTCTACCTCCCCCAGATACTTTATTTTTCCCTCTGTATGGTCCTGACGTATGTAACCCCTACCCATATTCAGGAATCAAGTGTGTTATATTAAAAACAGTTTATATTAAAATCTCAGTTGCTAAAAGTAGGAGCTACTTGGTGTGATGTATATATTGTTTAATTAATAGAACAGTAGATGTTTTCTATATACACTTTTCACTTTATTGCATATACATTTTTATTATTATCATTTGCTAATTTTTTCCTCAAGAGGGATAAAAATTTATTATTTTCTAAAAGTTCTTCTTATGTTCCAATACTGGCAATTTATCGCCTTATACTAGTGGAACAGCCTCCTTTAAGGGTATAGGGACTGATATTTGGGAGGACCATTTGGAAATCCCTCTTCAGTCTCTTTTTCTTTTTTCATAACCACACACATCCATAAAATGCTTATCACATACATACAGCACAGTATTTACTTACATCCACAATTCTCATCCGAAACTAACATCTGCATGAACTTACTAGATATAGATAAATTAACTTGAGGGAAAGACAGTGCGAAATCTAGTGTAGTATGGAGAAAAGTGGGCAAATAATAAATTGGTAGATTTGTGCATGGCACAATTGATTGGTTTGGCCAAACATATTTTGCAGAAATTGAAATTTGGTTCACAACATCCAACGCTTGTCCACGTGATAGCTTGGCATGGCCACATGACGTTCATGGAAATATTGTTGTTCAAGAAATATTCTTGGAAACATTCAGACAGCCAAAAAAGTGGGATAAAATGTACCTATAAGCATGCTGCAATTGTTAGTTTGAAATATTTATTATTTACATTTGGTTTTCATTTTTTTTAATTTATTGATCCATAGATTTAACAAAACTTTTACACATTGTTAAAACAACTTTAAAGGGATAGGTGCATTGCCTATTGGATTCAGACAGTAGTTAATGACACTTTAAGTACTAAATTAAGTACAGTTAAAGGGACACTATAGTCACCTGCACAACTACAGCTTAATGTATTTGTTCAGGTGAGATCTATAGCTCCCTGCAGGCAATCTAATGTAAACACTGTATTTTCAGATGGCCACCAGAGGGTCTTCCTATCATGTAGTGCCCTAAAAAAGCCTTGTACAAGTCAGACTGTGTGCGGGCCTTCTCTCTCCTGCCTGTCAGCAGAGGAGAGGGGGCAGGCAAAGACCGCGAGCTGAACTGTCAGTCAGCTCAGCTCGCGGCCACGCACACCGCGTGCATGCCACAGCTTGATTGGGGTCTCGCTGTCCTCCACCCACACTGGACCCAAGACCAGGATCCAGCTTCCAGTGGGTGAACCTTTCCTACTCCAGAGAGTATAGCAGGAACAGCTCTTATAAGCGCTAGTGATTATACTCAGGGGAGTACATCCCCTGTTAGCCCTGATCTGGGTGACCAATATATCCAAACATCACCCAGATCAGTTCAGGGGTTCAGGAATTCTACAGAAGTCATTTATTTGACCGACCGCAGGCATGGTCACATGCCCAAAACAGTTCCAGAGAATTGGATTGGTCTAGTTCGGTAGTTTGAAAATGAACAAACTACCGAACAGAGTCAATAGTTTTACCGTGGAGCTTGTTCCCCTCATCCCGATTAATGATCTCACCGAACAGTGCTCTTCTAAGTTGAATAAAACTGAAAGCAGGCCATGATGGGAGTCCAGCGGTGTTCGGGAATTTCTGTATCCGATTTTTGTTCCATGAGATTCATGCCCAAACACCGCTGCCTGCGTTCATGCAAAAAAGATGGCCGCCACCTTGTGGTTGTCCAAAGGAGTTGCAGTCAGACGAACAATTAGAACACTGCGGTGAGAAACGTTCCAAGTTGTTAATAGGTGTTAACAAGCTTCAGGGTGGTCTCTGGTTCATGCGGTTGTTTGGTAATTCGAAGTGCTGCTTCAAAAGTTCGAAGTGTGGTCATACAAGTCCAAAAACACAGTGGTTTTAATCAGGGTTTAACAAAGGGACCATAGTCATAGGGTCGAAGGCTGGCAAACAAGCCCCTCCAAAAACCAGTGGTGAGGTTACTTTCGCCACAGGCTCCTTTTTAAATCGTAATGATAACTGAAATCACCCAAATGGACCTAATCAAAAGTTTACATGTTTGGCCTTGTTACAGACACACAAGATAAAACACACAGCTTAAAATGGCAATTAAAGGTTAATTTCCCACACCTGGGGCTTTTTAAATTGCAATTAGTGTCTGTGTATAAATAGACAAGGAGTTTGTTAGCTCTCAAGTGGATGCACTGAGCAGGCTATAAACTGAGCCATGGGAAGCAGAAATAAACCATCAAAAGACCTGCGTAACAAGGCAATGGAACTTTATAAAGATGGAAAAGGATATAAACATATATCCAAAGCCTTGAAAATGCCAGCCAGTACTGTTCAATCACTTGTTAAGAACTGGAAAATTCAGGGATCTCTTGATAGCAATCCAAGGTCAGGTAGACTAAGAAAGATTTCAGTCACAATTACCAGAAGAATTGTTTGTGATACAAAGAAAAATCCACAGGTAACCTCAGGAGAAATACAGGCAGCTCTGGAAAAAGAAGGTGTGGTTGTTTCAAGGAGTACAATACAACAATACTTAAACAAAAACTATCTGCATGTTCGATGTTGCCAGAAAGAACCCTTTACTGCACCAATGGCACAAAAAAAACCTGGTTACAATATGTCCAACAACACCTTGACACGCCTCACAACTTCTGGCACACTGTAATTTGCATGGTGAGACCAAAATAGAGCTTTATGGTAACAACCATAACATTTGGAGAGGGGTGAACAAGGCCTATAGTAAAAAGAATACAATCTCCACTGTGAAGCATGGTGATGGCTCACTAATGTTTTGGGGGTGTGAGCTCTAAAGGCATGGGGAATCTTGTGAAAAATGATTGCAAGATGAATGTAGTATGTTATCAGAAAATACTGGCAGATAATTTGCATTCTTCTGCACAAAATCTGCACATGGGACGCTCTTGGACTTTACAGCATGACAATGAGCCTAAGCACAAGGTCAAGTTGACCCTTCAGAAGTTACAGCAAAAAAAGGTCAAGGTTCTGGAGTGGCATTACAGTCTCCTGATCTTAATATCATCAAGCCACTATGGGGAGATCCTAAATGTGCAATTCATGGAAGACAACCAAAGACTTTTCATGACCTGGAAGCATTTTGCCATGACGAATCGGTAGCTATACCACCAGCAAGAATGAGGGGAGTCATAGACAACTATTACAAAAGACTGCACGCTGTCATAGATGCTAAAAGGGGCAATACACAGTATAAGAACTATGGGTATGCAGACTTTTGAACAGGGGTCATTTCCTTTTTTTTTCTTTGTTGCCATGGTTTGTTTTATAATTGTACCATTCTATTATAACCTACAGTTGAATATGACTCCCATAAGAAATAAAAGAAATGTGTTTTGCCGGCTTGCTCACGTTTTCTTTAAAAATTGTACCTATATTACCAATTCTCCAAGAGAATGCAAACTTTTCTAATAATCTAACTATTTTAACTATTCCATTCTATTCAGACTTTCATGCTTCAATACGACAATATCAATGCTAAATTAAGCTCTTCAAGACAGTGTATAGTAACTCATTAAAATTAATTATATTATTGACAGATCAGTTTACCTTTTCCTAGTTTCCTTTCTCTGTCAATCTGACATTTATGCCTGTAAACCTGTCACGGAACTCACCATGTTTCAGTCTATGTTTATTCTCACCTTGTCTCCTGCACTGGGGGCTGGACTTTACCCATGATTGCCCAGGTCTATCTAGCCCACCTGAAGCGGATATTAACCAGCTTGGTATATAAGCACTGCCTTGCCCTGGGAACTTTGTCAGTTCATTAACTCTGGGTCCTGTGTTAGTATTCGTGATTCCAGTGTTCTCCAGTTGGCTCCTGACCTTGGCTTTCTTACCATGTATCCTGACTTCTGGCATCCTCTGACTTTGGCTTTCCCGTGACAATTCTTCTGCTTGTGTCCTTACCTGTACAGCGACTTGGAGCCATATCCTGCACAGCCCCCGTGCACAGACTCACAGGCCAGGTGAATTCTTACCTGACCACCTTGGCCTATGTTTAATTGCAAGGGTGAGCATAAATCTCTGCCTACCAGACTCCCAACTAAGGTAAGCCATGACAAAACCTTCAGATACTGGATCTCTTGCAAGTCTACATTTTCAGATTCAGTTGTGCGCGTGAACTTGTTACATTACTGATATTAGAACATTATTACTAATTGTAAGAAGCATAGCGTTTTTAATGGAATACTCAATAAATAGCAAGATTCATTGTTCAATATTGTGTAATGCTTCAGCTTGATGGGTGAAAAAGTAAATGTTGACACAAAGTGGCAAGAGTGATAGATAGTTGATACATTAAGTATTTGCTAAGAGAGTAGCTAGGGAGACAAAAGCAGTGTGTTGTTCGCTCCACCGCTCCTCTCCTGGGTTATCATTAAAGGACCACTATAGTCACCCAGACTACTTCAGCCTAGGTTTTAACTCTGCAGCTGTAAACATAGCAGTTTCAGAGAAACTTCTATGTTTACGTTGCTGGGTTAATCCAGCCTCTAGAGGCTGTCTTCCTGACAGCCGCTAGAGGAGCTTCCGCGATGCTCAATGCAAAATCGCATTGAGCATGCAGAATGTCCATAGGAAAGCATTGAGTAATGCTTTCCTATGGGCGTTTGAATGCACGCACTCTTGCCGCACATGCACAATCGGCTCTACTCGGGAGCTGACATCGGGGGGAGGAGAGGTCACCAGTGCCGAGGGATCCCAGTGCTGGATTAAGGTAAGTGGCTGAAGGGGTTTAAAACGAGTTTGTTTTCCTGGCACTATAGTGGTCCTTTAATGTGAGAGTGACATGCATTGAAAACCACAACTCAGGCACTGAATGGATAAGTGCTGGCAATCAAAAGAATACTTCAGTACTGCTCATTATTAGTAAAACCAATAAAAAAATCAATCTGACAGGCAATAGTTCTGGGCTCCAAGCAGCTTCACACCATGGAGATCTCCACGTTTTATATACAAGGCACTGTGTTACATAGTTACATAGCTGAAAAGATACTTGCGTCCATCAAGTTCAGCCTTCCTCACATTTGTATTTTGCTGTTGATCCAAAAGAAGGCAAAAAAAAACAGTTTGAAGTGCTTCCAATTTTGCAACAAACTAGGAAAAAAAATGTCTTTTGCCTAACATGAAATCTTCTTTTTTCCACTTGTTAAGACCAAATAAGTTAGAAACGGCTGCTGTCGTAACTTTAGAGTGTTTATTAAAACAACAATGCTCACATTATCCCAGTAGATATATATGTGTTCTCACTTACCACACATGTAACAGATATTTATTTATTTTTTAAACATTTTTAAATAGCAACCAACACAGTAAATGCGACACGGGTGTATAATAGTACAATAATAGTACAATACAATCAATCCATGCAATAATTATAGTTTGAGTCTCATTTATACAGTAGAATACAGGGGAGGATTAACACGTTTGAAAATTTTAGCAGCCTCAAGTCCCAATGTCCCACCCCTCACCCAGGCTGCTACCAATTTTTACATTAAATCAAAAATGAAAACCAGGAAAACAATAAGCTGAAACTGGTAGAAGTATAAAGCTATATATAATGTTACACTGTGGTATCCATGTCGTTTTCTGCGGCATTTTTTTTTTTTTTTTTTTTTTGTAGTAACAGATATTATCCCAAGTAGATATGGTTACACAGATGTGTGAGACTTTCACAGACAAGAAACAATATAATATTTATATATTTCCTTGCAGAAAAATAGAATAACTGTCTTTGATCTTGAAACAACCAGGCAGTTTCAATGGGGAATAGTAAGAACAACAATAATAATGATTGTAATACGAGATCCATACAGAGAAATACCCCCTGTTTATAAGGCAAATGCCAGATAGTGCACAGGTTTAACCCCATAAGGAGCAAGTTTTTTAGGAATATTATTACAAAACTGAATCCCCCATTGCCTGCAATCTGATAGATATCTGTTGACATTAAACATGCAGGCAATTCCATGCGGGCACAAGGAATTTAAGAATCAAACTGTGATGATGACAGCATTTCACTTGGTACCGTTATAGAGAAATGACAGTATTTTATTTTCTTGCTCTTAGAGGGAAACTGTTATTTTTTATTACTGAAAGCAAGAGATCCCAGTCTTTGTATTATGTTGTAATGTATGCATATAAGTAATACTTGTTTCCATTGTATCTCCTGGTTTCCTCCTGTTTTGTGTTATTTGTGATCTTTGCTGGTAAATAAGACTCAAGAACCCCCTTCCATAAAAAACACAAAAAAACAATATATATATATTAGTTGCCTGCATATTATCCCAAATCCCTATGCACATTTAAATAACTGGAGGTTTTCTAAGATCACTTCAATGGCTATTAAGCTCAACTGCCATGTCAAGGCAATTTAAGACTCAAGACACAACAGGTAAAATATTGTACTTTTGATAAAGTCATAAAGTGGTGAAATGCCTTAAGTATTTATTATATTGTTTTATTTGTTTTACAAATAAAAGTACTTTTTTATTGGACCTCTATACCCTGCTGCTGCTTGATTCCTGCTTTACATATCCTTAGTGGGGATATATACCACCTACGCTCTCAGGATTGAGTAAGCTGTTATTTGCTCTCTCATGTAAGCATGTTTTCTTTATTATTTTAGCCATATTTTTACAGTATGCACTATTGTCTTTGTATTTTATTTCCCCCCCACATATGAGGAGGACCTGTACCACACAAATCCTAGAGGGAGGATTGTGCCACTTCAAGCCAGTGGCGGATCCAGAGCCTGATCTTGGGAGGGGCACTTGTAGATTGTTTAAATAAATAATACAGACACAATAACCACTACAGCTCAGTGTAGTGGTTATTTTGCCAATAGTGCTAGGACCCACTCCCAGAGTAAGTAGTCAAACCGTTTAAGAACAGTTTGACAACTTACCTGAGGTCTGCTGGGAAATGGGGCTGTCATAGGGCATAGGAGAAGTGGTGTGTGTGAGTGGTGCAATGTGTGAGTGGTGCAGTGTGTGTGTGTGTGTGTGTGTGTGTGTGTGGGAGGGGGACAGTGTGTGAGCAGTGTGTGTGTGTATGTGTGTGTGTGTGTGAAGGTTGCAGTGTGTGAGTGAGGGCAGCAGTGTGTGTGTTAGGGGAGTAGTGTATGCATGGGTCAGTATGTGTGTGTGACAGTTGCAGTGTGTGTGTGAATTGTATGTGTGTATGGGGGCAGTGTATGTATGTGGGGGGCAATGTGTGTATGGGGCAGTGTATGTATGGGGGCAATGTGTGTATGGGGCACTATGTGTTTGTGTGTGGGGGCAGTGTATGTGTGTGGGGGCAGTGTATGTGTGTGTGGGGGCAGTGTATGTGTGTCTGGGGGGCAGTGTATGTGTGCCTGGGGGGCAATGTATGTGTGTCTGGGGGGGCAATGTGTGTATGTGGGGCAGTACATGTGTGTGAGGGGGGAGGGGCAATGTGTGTGTGTGTGTAGGGTGTGAGTGTGTGTGATAAGAAGGCAAGAGGGGGGCTTTTTTATAATATGGATTTTTTTATTTAATTAAAATAAATTAATTTATGTCCCCCCTCCCTTCTTACTTTACTGGGAGGAGGGAGGACATTTCTGGATCCATGGTGGTCCGGTGGGGATTCCCTGGTGGTCCCAGTGGTTACAGTGAACTCTAGCCCGCGCTCCAGGGCTAGAGTGAACTCTCGCGAGATCCAGAGCGTTGCCGTGGTAACGCTCCATGCTCGCGAGAGTAGGACCCAGGGGAGCTGCAGGCTGAGCTCCCGGGTCCTCTCTCACTCCCTGACCGGCTGCCAGCACAGTGCCTGCGGACCGGGGAGGGAGATCTCTGATGAAGGCCCTGAAGGCACATTGCAGGGCTAGCGCCTACATGTGCTGGCAGGGGAGAGGGAGACCGTCGGTTTTCTTGTGGGGGGCAATTGCCCTGTTGTCACCCCCTGGATCCGCCACTGCTTCAAGCTGTATTACTGGAGCCAATGCAAGTGGCCAATTTTAAGAGGCTCCTTAACATGTGAGTGTTGGGATCAATAAAAATATAAAGTATTGCACTAAGCGTGTTATACTACACTATATTATTTTTTATGTTCTATCCTACACATTCAACGAATATATCTGAAAACTGCAATTTTTTACATTGCAGGGTTAAGTGGACAGGGGCACTGCACCAAGATCACTTCTATGAGATTGTGCCCCTTTAAATAAATACATTAATAGAGTGTATTTTAAGAAATAAGGTGAAAAAGTGAAAGGGTGTCCTTGTTGTTTGGGTACTTCTATGATTATCCCAGTGTCATGAAGGAGAGTGTGGAGATGTATGCATTGCTCTACTTTTATGGGAACCCCTTTTCCTCTT